ATAAAAGAAACATATATACATGTATTAATCAAACCAGAATTCTCTGTAGAGACTTAAGCTCTACTGGTTTGTACTTATAACAAAGGAAGAGAGAAGTAGCCATTGGGACTTGAACTTTACAACAGCAATAAATACGTATTATTATACATGTAATGATCCATGATTAAGTCTCTTTTGTGGCAACTTGTGTGCTAAGCTGTATTGAAATCAGACCAAAACTGTAGCCTAAGGAGGAGTAGCACTTTAAAAGAATTTCCAAGAAATTTCTATTTTTAGTAAACATGAAAACACCGTTCATCGAAATCAATCAAAGTACTCAGAAGTACAGAGAGCCGGGCTCATTTACAGAGTAGAATGAATTTCTTACATGAATCACGTTTATATTCTGATGAAAAAATTATTTTAAAACTATCAATATAAATTTTAAGACACTGCCAGTGAGTTTTTCAATCCTAATACCACGGTCCGATTTTGTCAGAATCAGAATTAATCTGGTACCGCAGCTGAATTTAATCAAACAGGCCAGTCTGGTTCCCTCTCATTACTGTCATTACTACTAATTTTTATTTATATAGATAAAACTTCGTTTTATCTTTGTTGCTTTATTTAGCGTTTGCATTATCTCAAAGGCGGTTGAGAGTAAGAACTATATTTTTGCACGTAACTTTAAAATGGCGACTATGGGGTTGACTTCCTGCCTTGAACAGGATCACATAAGCCGGCAATTGCTCTTTGAGCAATAAGCCCGGCTAAAAACCGATGTACTTTATGTACATGTAACTTAGTGTAGTCTACTTGTGTGCCAAGTTAAATTGAAATTAGACCAAAACTGTAGGAGGAGTAGCGTTTTAAAGGAATTTGACAAAAATTTCCAGTTTTAGTAACCATGGCAACATCGAAATCAAAAACGATATACTTAATTATATATCTTAGTGTAGTCTACTTGTGTGCCAAGTTATATTGAAATTAGACCAAAACTGTAGGAGGAGTAGAGTTTTAAAGAAATTTGACAGAAATTTCTATTTTTAGTCAACCTAACCCTAACCCTAACCCTGAGTTATATTGAAATCAGACCAAAACTACAAAGGAGGTGTAGCATTTTTAAATGTTTACAGAAAGACGGACAGACACCTTACTATCTCATAAGCTCTTCTTGTCTCTGACCAGTAGGACTAAAAATGTTCTTCGCTTTTTGTGTTAACCAAAGTGCGTGGTTATGATGAGCAACAGTGATGATGTATCCGGAATTGTGACCACTGGGCCAAGTGTTTGGTGCTGAGCGACTCTTCTGATCTTATGAGAAATATGAACTATCCTGTGGTTTTTACTACGAAGTTATACATGTTAATTATATATTACATGTATTTTGAACGGTTAATAAAATAAAAGAATTACAAAAGTCTTTTAGTGTATAAAACTAAAATTAAAGTTTTAATAATCAAATAAACTTATAAACCGCAAATGTTAAGTTAAAAAACTTTCATGAAAAGTTATCTTTGTACATTGTACTCAGAGATTATGAGAAGCAAATATTATAGAACGTATTCTGACTTTTGAAGTGTTTCATATCCATTGTTTAATAGTGATAAAGTGGAGGTGTTAGCAAAGGGAAAATGGGGGCAAAAAATTGATCTATAATATTATCTTTACTGGTTTACAATTTTTGTAATTCCTTGGTCACCCTTTTTTCTTAATTTGGAGTAATATATACTCAACTTGATCATTTTGTTTTATTTCATACCAGAACTTACATGGATACAACAATATTGTTTTATAGTGATAAATTGGAAGTGTGTTAGCACCAGAAGATTGATCTGTTGAATTATTTTTGTTCATCCTGGTCATCCCATATTTCTTGCTTTAGAGTTACATGTCCTCTTCAACATGTTCAATATACCTCCCGCTTGAAAGAAAGGGGGTATACTGTGATCTGGATGTCCTTCCGTCTGTACGTCTGTCTGTTACGCTTTGGGGTATCCATCTCTTATCCGCAACTCCTCTTCTACCACTGAATGAAATTTCATGATACTTTCACAGAATCTTTGTAATGTTTTGCCAAGTTGCACCTCCTACGAGTATTTAACTTTTTTATTGGACAAACATGAACAATGCAATTCTTTTATTTTCTTATCAGCAACTCCTCCTACACCACTGAATACAATTTGATGATATTTTCACAGATACTTTATTACATAATGCCAATGGGCATCATGTAGTGAGCTCAGTGCTCACAGTACCTCTAGTTTTGTTTTATTTTATAGCAATACTTGTATGGATTCAGTCTCCCGCCTGGCGCAGTGATTAGAGCGTCTGCTCTTGAGTCGCGAAGAAAGGAGTTGATCCTTACGTCGCGGGTTCGAATCCCACTGCGGGACGTGGAGACCGATCCTACGGATGATACCGTATAAACGGAGGTCCCGTGTCGCAGTAGGTGCTGGTGCAAAAAAGATCCCTCCCAGTTCAATGGTCATGAGTTCCGAGTATAGGACAAAATTTGCAGCTCTCCATCGACAAGTGGTGGCGTCTCCATATGAGTGAAAAATTCTCGAAAGGGGCGTTAAACAAAATACATTTGTACAAATCAATCAACAACGAATACTACTGCTACATGTAGCTGTGCAGTTCATTAACGTTAACGTCTTATTTGATAGACGATATACAATTGAAGTAATTAAGTCTCCCGGGTTAAAGTCATATATATAAATTTTAATCCAGAAAAATAATTATATTCAAAATGTTCGAAATTAAGCAAAACCTCTTCACAAGTATTGTCATTCCGCGTTTTGTACGTGTTGTGTGTGTACAAAGTGTAGCAAATTGAACACATCCATGACGAGACGTACACAGTTTTTATAAACAGGGAACATGCTCTGTTATTGTTAAAGTCTACGATTCATCGTGTGTTTAATTGTTAATATTTACATTTGCAAATATCTTTCTTATATGAACCTTTTGAAGAGAAAATATATTCAGTTTGGGGGTCAGAGGTCATAGTGCGACCGAATCACAGAGGGAGGTGATATTTTATCTACATATTTCTGTCACGGTGCAGAATAAACAATATGGATATTTTTCAATCATGAGATGTAAAATAAATCTTCTTTTGATGTGAATAAGGTACGTTTTGAATACTATAATTAGCCTAAAACCAAACTGACTAAAACAGGCGATACCACCGCTTTTGACTTCAAATATTGTAAGAACTTATGAAAGAATTAGATCATTCTCAGCAGCGATTATATACAGATATTTCCTGAACTGGACTGCTAAACATGAATGTAAACATTCAAATGTTGGAGCGAGGTAAACTAACTTTGACCAAACAACTTCTAGGTCATTGCGCTTCACAACGTAGCAATACGGTGGCCCGTTCGTGTAATAAATGCAATTTTACACGAAATTTATTCGTCTCAAATGTAAATATAAGTAATAAACAACAATGTTAAAAAGTTCACTGGGAAATGAACTTTTAGTTGGTACGTAATTAAATCTACTGAGAAGCCCTTCGGGCGTCACAGGATTTGATCACGTGACCAACTATAAGTTCCATTTCCCAGAGAACTTTTTAAAAACTTTGTTGTTTATTTCTTAAAAGTCTGCTCACCACAACTGCACGGACTGACAATACACAATTGTGCTATGTGTACTACTTTTCATTAAAACGCAACAAGATTGCCACTTTTCTTAAGTACAGTATTAAGAATAAAACTAAGATTTGTGAAAGTACAAGGATGTGTCAAGCAAACCCGTCCAAATTTTGAAGTTTCAATAACTTTTAGATGAAATTTTTAATATAAGATTTTCGTGTAAAAATGCTATTGCAATATATAAGTCGTGATATTATACAGAAAATTTGAGAAACTATTAATTTCAAATCTGTGTCTATGCACCCTTCAAGTCATTTTAACCATAAAAACGTTAGCAAATTGAAGTCCAAAAATCATTAAATAAAAATATGCATCATGTAAATCTTAAAAGCTCAGATACGCCATATATAGCTTTAATTACTTATACGAGCTTTTTTCTGATCGGTAAAAATGCGTGATATGAAAATACTTATTTATTATCGGCCACATCTATTTTTGGTTGCAATAAAATGTCCACAGCGGAAATTGGGGCGTTGTTTTTGTCATTGCTTCTATTAAATATATTATTCTTTAGATAGAAATTATGAATGATTCAAAACAAAAAACAAAAAAACTCGCTTTAAAAAACAAAGACTTAAAAATTGTTGCATGAACCGGTCCCTGAAAGGGTCATTCAAAAGATATAAGATTATATGAATATCATGTACAGTGCTTAAAACAAATAAATTAAATATAAAAAAAGGGTTTTTTTCAGGGGTGAATACTTCTTACTTCTGTTTCCAAGAATTTATTTAATTTGCTCTATCACACTGAGACTTAAAGTATAAAAATTGCACAAAAAGTGATGCAATTAAATATTTTTCAAAAGAAATGTACCATACTAATACTATATACGGTACATGTAATATTTCGATTTTGAATTTTTCCTTTGGATTCCTTTTTGTGAAAATTCTTTAAATTATACCAAAATAATATATCTTTACGGCCAATTTGATGTTTTACATATAACCTCAAATTGTTTTCTTGTTTGAAATGATGTCCAAGACAATGGAGTTAATTTTCTGATAATTTTCTTCTGACTATTTTTCATGATTTTAAAATCCTTAAAAAATTTTCACAAGTAAAATCATACTTCAGCAAATATACAAGAAACATTCTTTTTTATTTTAAAATTTTATTAGCAACAGTTATTTCACATTCACGCCATAATGTGGGTCCCATCACTTTCTCACAAAAAAACAGAGGAGAGACATTTGGCCTTGTGGACATCTTGTTATTCCGGATCTCTTCGCCAGTGACAACAACATGTTAAAGAACCATTTGGATGAAATTGTTGATTAATGAAATGACCTAAAATTGCACATCAGAAAAAAGGACTTTTTCCTGGTGTTTGAGCATCCTTTGTATGATTAGGGAAAAGATGAAATTCTGAAATAGAAAAAGAAAGATCAGTCAACAAGGTGGTCTCAATTCTCGGAAAATTTTTGTTTTGTTTGAATTTACTGCAAAATTCTATTTAACTTGTTGCAAAGAATTGCAAAATTCTATTTAACTTGTTGCAAAGAATTCATAATTAGAAATTGTTCTTCCTTTGCTTTCTTTCTTTTTTGTTCCTTTAATAATATAAAATCAGGCAACCATCTTTTTTTACGACATTGCTATTTCCGTTCCTTTACAATGATGGATTGTGCAATCAGACAATAGGACAGTAAATTTGACTGATTAATATTCACACATCTAAAAACATAATATTCTTGACACAGACTTTCTATTCCCGAAAGAAATATATATTTCTAATAAACATGTCACCTGACCATATCTAGCCTGGCACACCAGTGACGTCACAAGCCGTTAATGTGCCAAGCAACAAAAATATAACTCTCTGGGAAGTGGTTCCGCATAGATCAAAGTGTCATTTACTTTAACAAGGTGTTCTGTCTCAATCATTTAGTGCAGAGGTTAATATGTGGTCAGTGTAAAACCCTAGTTTATCGACTCATACTGGGACACATCATAGATTTAAAGATAATAAAAATAAAGAGATGGTAACCTTGAGAAATTCGCACAAAACTAATAAGAAAAATAAAAAAGAAAAAAAAATGATTTCTTCAAACACCTAAATGAAACAGAACATCACCAACTGTAAAAAAAAAATTATAATACATATTTTGTATTTCTGGGTTATGTAAATTTAATTTGATGGGAATAAAAAAAATTCGGTTACCTTTGCATTCTCAGTTCATCATTTTGCTTAATTGCAGAGACATGTAATCTTTCAGACAACATCCGATACCAGCTGGGCTACATTTCATTAGATTTGGAAGACGGTACTGTCTTAGTGAGAGAAGATCGCAGATGTTACCGGTACGGCAAGGAATGGCTTTAACTCCCTCTGTTTCTTTACAAAGACTGTACGGGTTGTTGAGGAGGCGCATCATCATTGAGCCAGCCCCGCCCCTTCCTCCTGCTCCCCCAGACAATGCCATTAGTGCCATGGGGTTCATCTGTCCGCTAACATCTGAAAGACAACATTAATGAATAAAGCCCTTTCTTAAGACCACAGTTTGGCAATGACTGAAATAGAATTTGTTTTGATACATTTTACTTATTGTCTTTTTTTTTCAAAGTATTTTAAGGGAAGTGAATATAAAATTCAATGATTAAAAAATGCAAAATGGAAACGATCAAACGAACTATCGTATTCTAAATGAATGCTTAAATTCATATTGCCAATTTGTCAATTATGAATTCACATCATTCAACTAAATTAAAACACAACAGAAGTATAATACGGTAACGAAAACGTACACTAAATTATAGTATATAAGGATATATATTTCACAGATGTACAACAGACAACACAGATTCCCGGGCCTTTGAAACGAGCTCACAATTATACACTTCAAGCAACACGACACAAACTCAACACATGATTCAGAATAAATTTGTTTTTAAATTAAAAGGGTAATCAAAATTTCAGCTTAGATTCATCTCTTTCGATTTCTGTTGTTTAACTGAAGAGCACTATTCAAAACTAAAATTATGTTCAATATTGACTGCAAATGTTCAAAAAATCGCAGGGAGATGGACAGGTTAATTAAAAATAAATCAAAAGAGAGAATCTACTAAACTATCAATACAACGATTGACAACCACCAACATCAGCCTTACCGCCAGAGCTTAGGGCCCAGAGAAGGGCAAAATTTCTATTTAGTTGGGCAGCTGTAAATAAAATAGCGACCCTTTCCGACATTAAAAGTTACGGTACAATATCATACGAAACATCGAATATGGTATGTGCAAAAAAAGATATTAGTATCCATTGTTAAAAAACATCTGCAAATATTTTCACAAAATACATAAAATTTGAAGAGTCCACAAAACCGAAAAATAATCCCGATAAAATTTTGTTCAAAATAAAATCCAGATTGAAACTTACAAGCGCAACCAAAAACCACCAGGACAAGAGCAATTTCCTTGATCATGGTGTCGGGAGTGAAGTTTTAGGAGAGGTGGAAGGTTCGTTACCGCTGACTGTATTTGACCCACAGTGCCTGGTGATTAGTTTAGCGGGCTTTTTATACATCCACTGTCTCCTGTCCTCTTTACGACATTTATTACAAAGGCTTGGCCACTGCAATTGAAAGGTCAAGTGTCAAAGTTCTTATTCTTTAATTTTGTTTCGTTTAATAAATTTTGGTTGAAAAGAATATATTGTATAAATATTGCATTGTGTAGTGACCACAAATGGAACTTGATTTATTTGGTTTTTTTGAAAGAGAATGTTTGACTTTTATTTTGGATTGAAAATTGATTTTTTCGGTTTATTAATCTCATGCTTATTTGGCAAGGTATGTTCAAATCCGAATTTTTCTGTGTTTAAAACAGTAAAAAAAAATTTACAGTATGTATATCTTTTAATTTAAAGCAAAGATCCTTCGTCGAAAAATTAAAGTTCAGCATTTAACACATTCAAATGATTTTTAATACTGTTAAAAAGTTGCTATAAAGCACTTTATTCAATTAACATGTGCAAATCAGACATTTAAGAATTGTTTAAATCTCAAATTTTTATTGAAATTACATTAACAAGGCTTGACATGCTGCATTTAGCTTAACATTTTACATTGATGCATTTATAGCAAGTCTTAAAAATTGTTTTGTTTCAGTCTGTTTTAACTTGCCGTATAGTTGTTGACAAATATGTAGTCATCGATTGCCTATAATTAACATTAATCAATCGGGGGCGTGAAAATGAAAGGTTTCGGTCAGTAGATCATGATCATATAAGCCTAAAAACAGAAATATATTTATTTAACACCAAAAAGCTTAGAATTAATTTCAATAACACGTATGTAAAAACATATGTCTATATATGGTTTAAGAAATATTTATGAAAACCTATATTTCGTTTTTATTACATTTCCGTGTGCCCGGTGCTAATATTGTGCATGCGCTGTCAAGCTCCCCCAATCCCCGCGATGATTAATAATGTCATGAAGTTGTCATCTGTTCTTCTAAATGCCTGTTTTACGGCCAGTCCTCAGTTTTTCATTATTACGTTGCTGACCACAACCTATTTTAGATCTCCCATGAATATTTTAGACTCACCTGTTTGCTACATTATACATGTAGTACTTGTGCTTTAAATGAAGCCTTGATAATTTGAGTTGACATGTTCATCTAAATACTTAAAAATGCTAGTTAGCGTATTGTCTTATATGTAGTCTGAGACACTATATATAGTTATCTATTTGTATCTAGTAACTAGATACTAGTTTTCTAGTATCTAGAATTGCGACATAGGCGCTTTGGTTAAGGGTAATGTTTATTTCTTTATATATGGTCGAGGAAAATTTGGACTATATTCTTCAACAATGATAAATTGTATTTGCTCACAAGGTCATAGTATCGACCATAGGCTTTACGAAATGACGACTTTAAACGCGACTGCATGCTACTATTCTTGTTTCATTAATTTGTTTGTCAATAATGTACCTTGTTTTTAGAGATCATGTCTTAAATATAGAATCAACTGAGAGATATAATGAGAAATATAAACCCTGTATGCAGGTGATGAAGGTACATGTATATTGCTGCGTAAGTAAAGTAAGATGACGTTTTTAAAAGTTCAAGTCATTATCACAAAGCTTGGCTGTTAAATTACCATTCACGTTTTTTTTTTAAGTAAAACATTCGTATCATTTATCTCAAGCTTAGTAGGATATATCGTTTCGACATAAGAATGAAAATAACAATGACTGTTAATTGACAATACGTCGTCGAAATATCTAAAAGTTGAGTTGAAGGCCACAGCAAGTGTTTTCTTTTCACGTATAAGGTATTGGAAAAATCCTGCTTTACTGTTTCATTCGAAGCTATACCATATTCAGAACATGCAATTTTTACTCCTTGAACAACTTTTCAATTTTTATTTACCATGTACATTTGTCACTTTATTTTTATCCGAAAAATCGTAATGATTTACTTTTAAATTTTACACACTGCCAGGGTGGGAGTACCTATTGTACTCTACTTTTATATAACCATAAATTACTAATTATCTGATGAGAAATGATAATGAAATTGAAACATTAATAACAACTAGAAACGATCTCGTTGCGAGCAACGAGAGGTCTTCCGTCCGATTAAAAGAAAACAACCCGTAAAATCGAGCTAAAAAGTTTTTAAAAAATGCACACAAGGGGGATTGAACCCAAGTCACCAGCATGAAAATCCACGTTCAATATTACGCTATTGGGATATCACTCTAAATCTACTTTTGCAACAGTGCTTCTGTCTTAGAGTTATGAAAGGCGGGTCATTGTTCAAAATTTCGCGCCAATCGCCACAAGTAATTCTTCACGACTTTTCTTTGAAAAGTTCTAACAAATAGGTGTTATTGCTTCAATGAAATAAAAAAAAAAACGTTCTTATAGCCTAAGATTCGAGGTTAAGAAAGTATACTTAACACATTTTACTAATTCCATATTGTATATAAGCAACTAACAATAAAGCAGTGAAATGTCTATGAACTTTTTATCAATTTCCAGTTTATCCCCAAAGTGAACTATCCTGATTAGTTAAACTATCATGGCAAGGTTGAAATAGTTCGCCGAAAATAATGGCTCGCCCTACGGCGGTCAAGAAATCGGATACCTTTATGCTCAATAACTTGAATCAGATCTTTGAGACACGAATGTTAATATAAAATCGATTAAGCAATCTTCTAAAAATTGATTTCTTATTTTTGTCTTTTCTATTAGTTTAATATGACACAAGTGTGCATGAGAAAAGCAGTGGTCAAGTTTTATACTTAATATATTCATTGATATTCTTTCTTGAAAAAACTATTAGTTATATCTATGATTTAAAATCTGCTTTCCGTGGTGGAAATCAAAAGATAATAGGTATCAAATTTTATTTGCACATTTAGTCTTTCCTTTTTCTTCTTTGAGAATCAGCCTAAACCAATTATAGAAGACGCTAGTTTGACACAGAATTGCGACGTAAATACGAAGTGACAATCCAAATATTTCTTTGCATTTCATTTATCCTTATCTTACTTTTGTTCAAGCAAACGCTCAGCTGCCTCCGTAAACCCCTATTGCGAAATGTCGGAGTTGACAGAGACAGCCGCCATTTTGGACCCGCTTCAGATATCTAGAGTTTAGATTTATTGATATTCAAACAAATTATATAGTAAGCATTAATAAAAGGGTCTCTATTACCATTTCAAAAATAAATGAAAAATATTGAAAAACAAAAAAGCTTAAAAATACAACTTTTTATCTTCGCATCTCCGAACGACAGGAAGTATTGACGACGAACGAAACGTCGCGTCCTGGATAGTATTTATCACGATCTATAATCCCTGAAAGTTTCATGTTGATATCTTTTGCTGTTTTTCAGTTTAACCGTGGACAAAATGTCATTTTAATTTCAGAAAATTGTCCATAACTTAGCATCGGAAGCGAATTTCCAAAAAATCTCCCAGATGTATAAAATTCATGTAACGACACATCCGTTCTGAAAATTTCACTTCATTTCATCCAGTAGTCTTCGGGAAATCGCGTGCACAAAATTAGAAAGTCAAAAAAATAATAAAAAGAACTAGAAACGATCTCGTTGCGAGCAACGAGAGGTCTTCCGTCCGATTAAAAAAAACCCGTAAAATCGAGCTTAAAAGTTGAGAAAAAAATTGCACACAAGGGGGATTGAACCCAAGTCGCCAGCATGAAAATCCAACACCTTCAATATTACGCTATTGGGATATCACTCTAAATCTTCTTGTATATACTTGTGCAACAGTGCTTCTGTCTTAGAATTATGAAAGGCGGGTCACTGATAAAAATTTCGCGCCAATCGCCACGAGTAATTCTTCACGACTTTTCTTTGAAAAGTTCTAATAAATAGGTGTTATTGCTTCGATGAAATGAAAAAAAAGTTCTTATAGCCTAAAATTCGAGGTTAAGAAAGTAAATTTAACACATTTTACTTATTCCATATTTTATATAAGCAACTAACAATAAAGCAGCGAAATGTTTATGAACTTTTTATTAATATCCAGTTTAGCCCCATGTGAACTATTCCGATTAGTTAAACTAACATGGCAAGGTTGAAATGGCTCGCCCTACGGCGGTCAAGGAATCAGATACCTTTATGCCCAATAACTTGAATCAGATCTTTGAGACTAGAATATTAATATAAAATCGATTTAGCGATCTTCTAAAAATTGATTTCTTATTTGTGTCTTTTCTATTAGTTTAATATGACACAAGTGCGCATGAGAAAAACAGTCGTCAAGTTTTATACTTAATATATTCATTGATGTTCTTTCTTAAAAAACTATAAGTTATACCTATGATTTAAAATCTGCTTTCCGTGATGCAAATCGAAAGATATTAGGTATCAAATTTTATTTGCACATTTAATCTTTTCTTTTTCTTCTTTGAGAATCAGCCTAAACCCATTATAGAAGACGTTAGTTTGACACAGAATTGCGACGTAAATACGACGTGACAATCCAAATATTCCTTTGTATTTCATTTATCCTTATCTTACTTTCGTTCAAGCAAACGCTCGGCTGCCTCCGTAAACCCCTATTGCGAAATGTCGGAGTTGACAGAGACAGCCGCCATTTTGGACCCGCTTCAGATTTTGAAATGCTAATATCTAGAGTTTAGATTTATTGATATTCAAACAAATTATATAGTAAGCATCAATAAAAGGGTCTCTATCACCATTGCAAAAATAAATTAAAAATATTGAAAAACAAAAAAGTTAAAAAATACAACTTTTTATCTTCGCATCTCCGAACGACAGGAAGTAATGACGACGAACGAAAGGTCGCGTCCTGGATAGCGAATATCACGATCTATAATCCCTGAAAGTTTCATGTTGATATCTTTTGCCGTTTTTTAGTTTAACCGTGGACAAAATGTCATTTTAATTTCAGAAAATTGTCCATAACTTGGCATCGGAAGCGAATTTCCAAAAAATCTCCCGGATATATAAAATTCGTGTAAGGACACATCCGTTCTGAAAATTTCACGTCATTTCATTTAGTAGTTTTTGAGAAA